GACTGGGAAGATCCGTTTAGTGCAGCAGCACCCTTCTCTTTCTCTGCCAACTTGTCCTTCTCAGACTCGAACCATGTGCGCCTTGGCCGAGACTTGATCTCATCTTCGTGCTGGATCAGGTTCTCACCTCGCTTGAGGTCACGTTCTGTGACGCTCATGGCACGCTCTTCTTTCTCTTCGGCGAGGACCTCCTCGATCTCGCCTTCGAGATCCTTGATCTTTTTCATCCACCTGTCGGTTTCTTCTACGGGTACTTGTCGACTGACAACCTTGGCGCCTTGGTCGCGCGAAGCCTTGACGGCCTGCTTGACAACTTTGCGGTCAGGTTCTGCGGCAAGTGTACAGGCACGACCACTTCGTCCTGCACGGGCGGTACGACCAACACGATGCATGTAGATATCGTGACTTTGCGGTGCTTCGTAGTTGATGACTACCGCGACGTTCTTGATATCAAGACCACGCGAGGCGACATCGGTAGCCAATAAGTAGGCAGACTTGCCTGATCGGAAAGCCTCCACGGATTGAATACGCTATGACTGTTAGTATTGTATCAAACGTCAAATGTTATTGAGTTGCTTACCTGCTCTTGGCTCATGTTACCATGGAGCTCACTAGCTTTGAGCCCACAGAGAGCGAATACAACGCGCACCCTATGCGCCTCCTTCTTTTGCCTGAAGAAGATGATGACCTTCTCTGTGTAGATCTTTTCACAGATGTACATCAAATACGCAAGCCTCTTATCTTCTTTGCCCTGCCTCAGTCGCACGAACTCTTGCGTCAGACCTGCTACAGTGTGCTTCTTTGCATCAACCATCAGACGTACGGGCTTGTCCATACCGATACGGATAAGCTTGTCGACTGAGCTAGTCATGGTAGCGGAGAACAGCATAGTCTGTCGTGATTTCGGAATAGTCGTCAGGATCTCGTTCAGTTGGCTCTCGAAACCCTCTTCGAGCATACGATCGGCTTCATCGAGAACAAGAATCTCGAGATGCTCAACCTGGAAGGCAGCTGTGTTGTGCATGTGATCGATGAAACGACCAGGTGTCGCAATCACAACATCCGGTCGGGTCTTCAGCACAGCCTCTTGGTCGCGCGTTGAGAAACCACCAGCCATCAATGCGAAGGTAATGTCGGTGAAGGAGGCAAGTTTGGTCGCGACGTTGAAGCATTGTACTGCCAATTCACGGGTAGGCATGAAGATGGCGACACGGGTGGTTGGAACCTTCTTTGGTCGGTAGAGCAGACGTTCGAGGATAGGAATGAGGAAAGCGGCCGTTTTACCGGAACCAGTCTCGGCTCCTCCCACGACGTCCTTGCCTTGCATCGCAATCGGAACTGCTTTGTTCTGGATAGGTGTAGGCTCGGTGAAGCCCACAGATGCCAAACCTCGTAGAATGGGTCGTGAAAGTGACATGGCTTGGAAGGAACCAGTACCACCTTTGGCTCCCTTCTTCTTCTTGATCTGCACGCTGTCTTCGGGCGCGAAGAAAGCGGCTGCCTTCTTCGCCTCGACAGCGTCCTCTTCCTCGCTCTGATCTTCATGGTCTGTTTCGGCGCCCTCAAGGTCCATGGGATGTGGTACATGCGGTACTTCTGCTTCTTCGTCTGAGTCGCCCTCCTCTTCGCTTCCACTGCCCTCAGCCCCTGAAGCCTCCTCCTCGTCCTCCTGGTCTTCCTCTGAGTCGCTTGCTGCGCCCATGCCGAACCCGTCTTCGGCCATGAGCTCGTCATCCTCCCCGAAACCTTCAAAGTCGCCATTGACAGAAGCCTCGGGCGACTCAGTTTCTATGACTGCCTGTGCGCTCTTCTTGTTTCGTCTCCGCTCGATAATGTCGTCGACATCGACCGCGGTGCCCTTCTTCTGCGACTCCTGCGCTACTGTGCCGTTGTCGTTGCCCCAGCCGTCAAACTCCTCCACGAACCCGGTATCTATGTCGCCGACCGCAAACTCGAAGTCGCTGGCAATGTCGTCGTTCTGTTCGACATCTTCAGTCGGTTCTGGCATCGCGTTGTCATCTTCGATTTCGGGAGCAGGATCGGCTCCTTTCTTTCCCTTCTTCTTGTCCTTCTTCGCCTTCTTCGACGCGACTTCTTTCGGCTTAACGTTGAGATCAGGATCTTCAGTGTATTTCCTCTTCTTTCCAGCGCCAGCTAGTTTGGCCGTTGCTGCAGCCTCGTCGGCACCACCGTCGTCGGATACATCCTCGTGGTCGGAGATGGTGAAAATGAAGTCGTCGTCCTTAGGCGCCATGGTTATCGTGTGACGATACCTCGTGTACTGGGGTAATTGCAGAGATAGTTGAGCGTTCCGCGTTTGCAAGCGTCGCAAAAAAAGTTCGGGCTCGGGGGATCTGTGCTCAGCGCACCCCTGCAGCCTAAAAGTGGGGTCGCTGCAGCCGTCGCGACTGCGAACAGCTTGGATCTCCGAGTCGTGGCAAACATCACTCGGACGTCTACATCATCTCAGATTCTACTCAGTAATCAACATTTAGTGGTGTGTATGCAGCAAGATGCACACAAAATCTAGCCACCAAGATGCTCGCTAGCGCGTTGGTAGCGCGTTGACAGCCTACCAGGCATCAGAGACGTTTGCGACAAACGAACATGGTCCAATGACGACTGACGAAATGCGCCAATAGATGACACCAGGTCTCAGGCTGAATTGAGGCCGCTCTCTCATGTGATATTGTGTAGATTCTGATACGATATTGCTTACTACTTCTGCTAGCCTTATCCAATAGGATATCTAGGTATAGGCTGAGCAACATACCCATCTGTCTGGCTCAAGCGTCCACGGTACCTAGATACCAAATTCCAGATCTCAGGCTACAATCTTCCTTCTAAACGGCTGAGAAGTTTACCGTGAGTCACTGCCTGCCAATTGAAGCCAGGCATCCACAGCGCCTTCCGGTTCCCTACCGCCAACCGACGTCAGCTGCAGCCTCAGCCTGATATATCTAGCCTTGTCAGTCACGCTTGAGGCTCCTTCTATACCACTATTTTCACTCTCCAATCTGCTTTACTTGGTCGCTGAATCACCCACTAATCAACACCGTACCACCACCTCACTGACCACCTCACTCCACCATGCGTCGAGTGCCACGAAGAGCAGCCTCACCCACTCCAACCACCCGAGTCCTCCGCTCGCAAACTAAACAAGCAGCTTCAGAAGCCCACGCCACCAAGGTCACCAAGCCCACCAGGAAGCGTCGCCCACGTGCAGATCCCTGGGCGAAGAAGCGCAAACCAAACCCCAACCCCAGGCCGCGCAAGCCACCGCCCACCCACTTCACATGCCGGATCTGCATCGAAGAGCAATCCACCGATGAGTTCGTCAAATGGGTACCACCGAAGCGCGGCCGCTGGCAGCAACACGTAGACGTCCCCTTCAACTGCATCGCCCACCTAGCCCGGAACCCCAACAAGCGGAAAATCGACCCCGTCTGCAAGACATGTGTCGGCAACTTCCTCTCCGCAAAGATGGACACGCTCGGTGTACGCCAACTCGGCGCCGGCTGTCTAGAACCCGGTTGTACGGAACCCTGGGACCACCACTTCATCCTGCGATACATGCCTGCGGGTGAAGTGCTCGAGAAGTTCAACATGGAAATGCTGGAAGTGTGGAAAGAAACCGCGAGTCCCAAGCCAATGACCTGTCTTTCACCTACATGCACTGCGATCGGTTTGCCAGATGCGACGGCGGCTGGATACCCGCAAGTCGCGTGCAACGACTGTGCTTTCCGGTCTTGCGCCCAGTGTCTTGTTCCGTGGCACAAGGACGTTACGTGTGCGGAGTATGCGGCGAAGCATGTGGATGAGAAGATGAGTGATGCCGAGAAAGAGACGCTCAAGATTATGCAGGGTAAAGATGGAAAGAGGTGTCCGAATTGCCAGTTGGTTATCGAGAAAGATGGTGGCTGTGATAGCATGGTGAGACCCTATCTTGAACTTCTCATATGTTTCACTTTACTAATTCACGGACAGTTCTGCGTTGGATGCCACAAATACTTCAACTGGGCAAGTGCCGCTTCAGCGTTGACTGGCGCTAAGAAAGCCGAAGCTCCTTACATCCGCGACATGCCGTACTGGCTTCACGATGGTATGGTCGTGTGCGAGATGGACGGTATCAATGGACTGGACGGTACTACTGGCGCGGTTGCTGCGGCGACAGACAGCATGGTAGAGGGATGATGTGCGATATTGAACTGGCGAGGTTACGACTGTTATGATTACGAAGGGATCTGCATTATTCACATGTTGTGTACTTGCGACATGGGTCCCGGCATGGAGTGGATTGGGTTGGGACATGTGTTGTTAATGTGCAATAAAATTTTATAGAAGAACTTCAGCACAATCACAATCTCTCATACACAACGATGCCATCGATGGATCTGCCAGAGCACTTAGGCCCCAAATGGTGTAGATTTTTGGTTGTACAGAGTTTGCGTATTAGTTACAGAATCCCAGCTCGCAGCCACGAGGTTCCTCTCTTTCCCGGTGTTTGTAAAGCAAATTGATCGCTCCCCCTCGCTCTCTGTGACTCCAAATCGCGCGGACGAATACCACCTGTCCCGCTCGTCGTGAAACGCCCTGTGATGCATTTTGAACGCCAACCAACGCCAACTGCAGAATGGGGGGTTGATGCATTATGGTAAAAGTGGGTGATCAAACCTTCTTGTAGTGTTTTTGTGACTGCGCTCTGCGGCGGTCTTTTCCTACTTTTTTTTCTGGTTTTGTTTGTTAGAGGCCCTCGGATGTACGGATACGCACCTGCACCTGATGCGGCGTCGGATCGCAAGTCCGGAGGCGTCTCTAGTTCGATCGAGAAAGACCTGTGTAATCAGGCAGGCAGGTTGCTAACGAGCCGTACCTTTGTCGGCGCGTGAGGAAGCAGCCGGAACTGAAGAGAAGAAGAATGTCAGAAACCCCAAGAATATCAAGTGAATGATGGAGAGTATAGAAAAAGCGAACATGTGCTAGCTTAGCTGAAAGCGAACTTATGCTGCCGCTGGAGTAGCGACTCCATTGGTAGCCAGTTCGGCCTGTCGACGCTTTGCTGCCGAATGCTCGCTGTCCTGTATTAGCACAATCGTCAGCATAATGGCGTATGGTTACTCTCGGGGCGCGGGTGAGCGTCGAGAGGATTTAGTGAGGCGTGAGTCACGCACGTCAATGCCTGTATCGGCGAAGTGGCGCTTAGCACTTTTCGCGTCCTTCTTCTTCTTGTCTTTGCTAGGCTTCTTTGGTCGGGTCTCTCCTTCGACAAAGACATCATCGGGAAGTGCAGTGCTAGCAAGTTAGCGATTGCCCCAAGTCTTGATGAGCGGTACACTTACTTGCGCGTATGAACCACCTTAACTGACATCACTTTATCATCGTAGAGGTCGGAGTCGGTGATGTAGCTTCTGAATTGGCTCACTGGGTAGGAGATGTCGAGCGACTTGGTAGCATCTACATGCCGAGTTAGCTGTGCCATGTGATGGATAACTTGGATATACGAACCTGGAGGCAAAGTAAGACCAATGTAGAAGGTCGTAGTGTAAATGATATGCTGCTCGCCATTCGCTGGCTCAGTACCCTCAGCGGGAACTTCGGATGCCGGAATCATGTACTCGAGTGAACCCTGCGTAACCTCATGGAACTGATCGTCTTTGCAGCGGTGGAAGCGTTCAAAGTAGTGAATGTACGGGCGGGCGGTGTCGATGCCCGTTTGTCCATCGTCGATGCCTTTGACGATATGACGGATTTTCGACTGTACCAGTCCGGAGAAGGTCGAGTTGGCTTCCTTAGTCCGACTCGCGGCAACGACACTGAGGTAGTATTTGTGGTCTTTGGTAAAGAAGGAGTGGCGCTCGAAGAGTGAATCCCAGTCCTTGGCGCCCGAGAAGATATGCTGTAGGATCTTGTCCGCTCGCCCGAACTCCTCCTTCATGATTCGCAGCGTCGATGGCATCACCGTATGTGTAGCGCACATGGAAGGAAAGGCGGGTGTGATGATGGGCATGAGGTGGGCGCGATCGCCGCCGTAGACCTGGGGATTCCACACCCGGAGACCCAAGTCGCCCTCTTCGATGTGCTTTAGCATAACAGGTCGCGGCCAGGTCCATTTGTACATCAAGCTGAAGAACTTGGAAACGATAGTAGCGCCGTTGGCCATGGGATACAGCTGGCAGATGCGCGCAACCATGATAGCCCACGCAACTCCGCCAGGGTATCCGAAGACTGCACCGTAGATGCCGCGGCGGTTTGACCAAAGTTTGATGGCCCTCAGCGCGTGTCGAAAACTGACCTTTTGCGGCACCGCATCCAAGAGTTCGTTGGTGACTCGTGTGCCGTTCACACTCCGTGTTGCCGACTCGCCGAGACCTTCCAAATCCTTCTTCTCGATCGTCTCCATCGTTCTTGGTATCGACGATCTCTTCGGCAAGGACGCGAATAGCAGGTCTATGCTCACACCGCGATATTCCATCTTGATAATGGGGACAAAGGCATCTTCGACGGGCACGAATTCGGTGATGTCTTCGGCCTTGGACATCTCTCTGAAGGTCGGAGGGAAGTTTTTGAAGAATTCGTCGATGGTCACGAACTTGGGCGCGACAACGAGTGTATCGATATCCGACGTGGGACCGTGGACGCCGAGAGCGTAACTACCGAAGGTGAAGATCTTGCCGCCGGCGGCATCGAGGACAGGCTGCTGCACACCCTTCTGTTTGCCGACGCGACGGACAAACTCTTCGACGACCTTCTGAATGTGATCGATGACCTCCTCCCTGCGAAGATTAGCTTGGCGCGACTACGTGTTCAGGGACTGCCGTACCTCCTGCGGTTGCCCTCGGGAGTCTCGAAGACATTCTCAGTCTTCAGCGTCTCGATGAGTTTGTCGTTTAGCCGGATATCGTGTTCAGTCGGCGCGGCCTCTGATATGGCGCTGGTGACTCCAAACTGTCGGGTGGGCTTCTTCTGGCCGTCCATGGTGAAGGGTGAGAGAATCGGGGTTGAAAGAGTCGCGCGACTTCGGGGGTGCTGCGGCGAGCTGGCGCGGAAGAAGTCGCAGTCGGGCGCGTGTCGGGGTGGATTGTCGTGAGAGACGGCTGGGAAATGAGTGTAATAAGAGATTCAGCGCTCCCACATGGCGACGCGACCTTTCCCGAGTTGAAGTCTGGAAAGTGAATGCACAGCAATCAGAAGTCGAGGATGCATCCGTCTTTCGAGCAGCCCGTTGCCAAGCCGCTAGTGCGCCACTGTGGCTCAACCTGGAAGCGGCGGCATTACTGTCCAGCTGTTAGCACGAATAGTAAGATGTCTCAGCACCGCGTTAGCAAAGCATAGCAAGGGAACTACATACTAGTAATAAGTTAGCAAGATATCTTGAGAGCTATTCGTGGCGACTACTTTACCCTCCGTCGCCATCGCAACATTGGCAAATCTTGCAAACTCAACATCATCACCGTCGCCTTCTGAGGCTCGCGGACAAGGCGAAGGCTCGCAATCATTTCTGAAGCCAGAAATACGTGCCCGTATTGGAAGAGTCGTTCAAGAAATACAACCATTTCACATACAGCTCTGGGCGGATCCACCCGGGTTCGTCTGCCACGAAGGGGACAGTAAAACTGTTTGGTTACCTGTTACTACAGAAAAGGTTCAACAGCTCCAAGCAGCTCTGCAAGAGGAGTTCGCTGAAGTAAATGCAGATCGGCGGGGTTTCTTCCCTTACCTTACTGTAGGGCAGGTGAACAGTATATTCGGAATGGAAAGACTTCGCACACTGGTCACAAAGAGAATAGCGGAACATCTGGATCACAACCCAGACGAGAAAGCCAAGTCTGTAGCTTTGGATTGGCATGTTGATCAAGTATGTGTTATTGAACGCAAGACCAAGTACGATCGTTTCAAGATAGTCGAGACTATCAAGCTAGGAGAGCAGTAGCATCGTTTGCGAGATCAGTTCTTCGAAAAGAATTCCCGCATTTGGTTATCCAGCCATTTCACGTCTTCGGTCGACTGCCCTGGTCCGCCGGCCCTAAGTTGCTTGTCAGCTTCAAGTGTTCTATACATCCGGAAATACAAGCCTACCAGTGGCCCCAGATAGATGGAAAAACCTTCAATGTTCCCACGCCTGGCTTCATGTTCTGAACCTCAATTTCTGAATCTTCTGGTGGGAAATACAGATCTGTCTTCGCTGGCAGGACAAGCGTCTTCGCTTTGATACCCTTCATCGCTTTCTCAAAATCGCCATTATACGGTTCTTGCTGCGAGCAGTCACCAGCCTGCCATGTATGCGCCATGACCAGCATATTCTCTGGGTCTTTCGAGAGTGCCCAAGCTTCCCAGAAGTTGACAAGAAAGTCGTCCAGATTCTTGAATCCGAGTGTGGGTGCTGTCTCATACAGCTTCTCACGATAGAATGCTTGTGAAAAGCCCCAGCCAGCATAAACGCGTCCAAGAGCCTTCAATCCGACCTCTCGGTTCGAGGATGCGAATTGCTCTGTCTTGCCTTGAGCAGCTAGAAGACTCGGCTTCGCAACTCCTGCTGAACTTGTTCCTATGGCAGCGTACAAGGCGCTCTTGACGCCTTCTAGGAAGACCTGGTTATGCAAGCTCGTCTTTGCACTTCCACAGAACGGTACCGCGAGGTCCATAAAGTCGGGGAACTGCGTAGCCCACTGGTACGTCTGTCCTGCACCCATGGACCAACCAAGGACTGCACGAGCATGCTTTATACCAAGATGTTTAGTGACGAGCTCATGCTGCGCTCTCACGTTGTCGTAAAACAGCACTTCTGGAAACGGGCGCAAATCGGGCATGTTGGATGGCGAAGACGACTGGCCGTTGCCGAATAAAGCAGGCATGATGATGTAGTATTCAGAAGGGTTGAGGGTCTTGTCTGAGCCCGTGAGCCAGATATTGTCGGAGATCGCTACATCATCGCATTAGCAGCTGTTCAGTAATGCTTAATTGGGGCTGCACATACTCCCTGAATACCATGTTGGATATATGATCGCAGGTAGCGATGGGTCACCTAATGTCTTGTAGGCGATGAAAGCGTCTGGAATCTCTCCACCCGACTTGAGCTTGAAGTTGCCCAACTTGTAGGTTTGGTAATCATCGCTTGTAGACATGCTCGTATCTAGAAAGAAGGGATATAATGTTATTTTAGGCAACTATAGGAGCGAAGGTCCGTTGATCACTATCCAGAGACATGCACAAGCACGCTGCCTATCTATCATCACCATGCCCCTCAGTTCCAGCTTCCGTGGTAGACCCTGCCACTAAGCTCTGGCGTGGTTATCGTTCGTGGCGGGGTAGCTGAGAGACATGGTGGGGTACATGACGTTGACAAACCCGTCCCTTGCGGCAAATCGCCGTGTGTACCCGTCGGAATGGCCATGGCCAAACCTTCTATACAGGCCAGAAACATATATCTTCTAGCAGCCTCAATGCAAATAGAACTTCTTGGTTCCAAGCGGCCTAACCAAGATTCCTACGATGGCGGCTCAAAAAGCCTCGGTGGGCATTCCGCGGCCGCCCCTTGTGCAATTGCAGGCTCGGAATTATATCCGCTATTTGCCGTAGAGCACTTTTTTGCGCGATTGATCATCTTTTACTAAACGGCAGTTGCACCCATACCTAGGTATCGATATAAAAACATCGTTCCCGTGATCACCACTACAGCACAATTCGTTCACCAACACTTCTTCCCCCAAGTCACAACACCCAAACTACAGATCTCATCATGGCAACCGGACGAGCAGACGCCGAAAAGGAGATAAAACGCAACCCCCACGGCGACTTCAAAGCAGTCGAAGCCTCGCGCCCACCCTTCGACACAAGCTCCTCCTTCCACTACACGCAAACCCCGAAACCCAACTGGCAACCCGGCTCCGGTCCCAACGAGCCCTCCAGCTTGCAAAAGGCGCACCGCTCCATCAACCCCTACGAAGAAGGCCGACCCGTAGTACACAACTACAAGCTGCTCATCTCCGCCATTGTCCCCCGCCCAATCGGTTTCGTCTCAACAATCAGCGCAGATGGAAAAAGCACGAACCTCGCTCCGTTCAGCTACTTCAACCTCGTGAACCACGACCCACCAATGTTCGTGCTGGGATTTGCAGGCGGCATGGACAAGGCTAAGGACACGCTCAAAAACCTGGTTGATACCAAGGAAGCTGTTATCAACATCATCACGGAGGAGTACATCGAGGCGGCGAATTACACGAGCATCAATGCGCCGGCTGATGTGAGTGAATGGGCGTTTACCGGGCTGCATGCCGAGAAGAGTAAGTTTGTCAAGCCGGATCGTGTCAAGGAGGCTGTGTTTAGTATTGAGGGAAAGCTGGTGAACACGGTGGAGTGGACAAGTAAGAATCCTGCTACGCCGGATAAGAAGACGGGTGTTACTGCGTTTGTGGAAGGTGTCAACTTTTGGGTTAGGGAGGATGCTGTTGATGAGCAGGGTGTGCTTGTTGATCCAGCTGTAAGTTACCAGTGTGAAGATTGTGGGAGTTGGAAGGTTGCTAATGCTGGACACAGGTTCTCAAGCCGATATCTAGGTTGGGCGGTATTACGTATGCGAGGTCGACACAGGCGTTTGAGCTGCCGAGACCGGATTACGAGGAGGTTACTAAGGATCCTGAGGTTGCGAAGTTGGCGAAGCCGAAGGGTGAAGGTCAATAGGGAGTCTTATCGAGGCTGCAGGGCAATAGACGTGTACTGTGTGCATGGAAAGAGGGGGGCGCAGAGATCTCAAGGTATAGACGAGTAAATACATGGTCAATACAAGAAGAAATCACTCAATGGGAAGAGCGTCCTGTCGTTCGCAACTCATAACTGTGCAGAAAAGAAGCAGAGGTATCATAACTAAAACTCGTCTACAAATTCGGATGTCGTTCCGCTTCATGCGGCAACCTCATCCCTAGCCAAGGGCAGCCCAATGAAGAAATTTAAACGACCTGCCCTGTAAATCCTACTCCTCTAATCCAACTTCAACCTTTCGTCCCAACGCTTACAAGGCCATGACACCGGCGAACGCGGCAGCAAAACCAGCGCCCATCACGCCAACGACGTTGGCCATGGCGGCACCGGTTCCGGTCGCAGATGCACTCGCACCTGTCGCGGACGCACCACTGGCACCCGCTCCAGTAGTAGTAGCAAGAGTGCCGTTCTCGCCGAGGATAGCCTGGTTGACCAGCCTCTGAACCTCTTGGTTGTACTTGTCGTAGTAGCTCTTCACATCGCTGGGAAGCGCGCTGTACCAGGCCGGTGTCTCAGAGAGGGTCTCGAGCGCACCGACTTCGGTGACGCCGCTAGGAATCGAGTATGAAGCGGTAGCAACGAAGGATTTGAGACCATCGTGAGCGGATTTGGCGGCAGCAAGGTTGGAGGCTTGCGTGAGGGATGCGAGGCCCGTCTCGACTACGTTCAACACGGACGAAGCGTAACCGTCGATCTTAATATCGTGGATCAGCATTGATTACATAAGGTAATGGGTGGATAGACTGGAACATACATCGGTGAGAATGTTGAGGTTGGTGGGGAACGGTGTGGTGATGATAGCGAATTCTGCGACAGCAGTGCCAGCAACGGCAGTGAGGAGAGCGAGGTTCTTGAACTGCATGGTAACGGTAATTGCGAAAGTTGTGGAGAACGTTGGTAAAGAACAGGTGAACAGTGCCGTCTAAAGTTGAAACTAAGATCGAAGAATGACAGAAATAACGATTGACAGAAGCAAGAGCGAGGACCTAGGAGCAACAAAACGCGTGGGAGAGCAGGCAGCATCCACTTTATGTATACTTCAATTTGTGCATCAACACCCGAACGCGTATACTCCGCCACGAAACTCGGCTCCAGCGCATGGGTAATAATGTCGTGTCAGCCCGTCATCTTCGCTGTCTTGCGCCATGCGTAGGTATTTTTGTTTTTAGTAACGAAAACCGTTGAGCGCCTTGCAGGTAAGCTGATGGAGATCTGTCAAA